CCCCGTGTTTCAAGCCAAAATGTTAGATATGCTAAAACAAACTGGAAGGTATTTTTATCTATTTTATTTTCTTCTAGGCCTGAAATGGTTGTTGGATGGTACCATTCTCACCCTGGGTTTGGTTGTTGGCTTTCAGGTGTTGATATGAATACCCAACAGAGCTTTGAATCACTTTCAGATCGGGCTGTTGCTGTTGTCGTTGACCCCATTCAGAGCGTTAAGGGAAAGGTAACTTTCTTCATTTCTACTAGCTTCTAGGTTGTGATAGACGCTTTTAGACTCATTAATCCTAATTTGCTGATCACCAATCAGGAGCCACGCCAGACGACTTCCAATGTTGGCCACCTGAACAAACCATCAATCCAAGCCCTTATACATGGGCTTAATAGGCATTACTATTCCTTGCCAATAAATTACAGAAAAAATAAGTGGGAACAAAAAGTAAATGCTTTTTATCTTTGGCATTTTAGTAGATGCTAATGAATCTTAACAAGCGGACATGGCAAGATGGATTAACTCTATCTGATTATCCAACTCATTGCTCAGCAAACCATAAGACACTTCAATCTATGCTCACATTGGTGAAGGCATACAATAAGGTATATATTGCTTTTTTATTTTGTTCTCTAGTCTTTGGAAGAAGAGGAAAAGATGACCCATGAACAACTAGCAATTAAGAATGTCGGGAAAATGGTTAGTTATTTTTTTCACTTTGAAGCTCTGCCATAATTTGAACTCTATGTGCTAACACGATTTAAATTTTACCCTTATAGGATCCTAAGCGACACTTGAGTGAAAGCGTTGATCATTTAATGACGGAAAACATTACACAAGCACTCGGCGCTATGCTCCATTCTGTTGTCTTCGGCTGATTTTAAGGAAACTATGTCATGATATGTATTGATTTTATGAATAAATCTTTGTTGTTTCTGGCTCTTAGTGCTTACCCTTGTGGCCAATATTATGCGTTGGGCCATCTTATGATTGCTACTAACAGAATTGTTATATCAATTTCGTTTTGCATCAAATGTTTATTTTTCCTGGCTTTTCCTTTTCCAAATAATCTTTCTTAAACGCAAGAAAATTCATATGTATATAGTGCGCGATTCAACGCAAATGAAGGTTGCATTTAAGTGCCGACGGATTAATTCATG